AAAACGGTACTTTGTAATGGTTGTTGAGAGTCCCCTGAACAGTGTAACAAGATTGGCCCTACGTGTGTAACATATATGAATTTGGTTGTTCAGGATTACTTCAAAGTTGAGTTTGTATTGTTTTCTCGAGTTTTCACCGGCTCCACTGGCGTTCCACAGCAGCGCGCACAAAGCCCATAGAAATACGTGGTACAGTGGTGCGCGTCTTAGCAACGTAGAACGTCCGTGACGTAGCTCCGTCCCCGAGGATAGACAACAAAAATTCTTTTTGCATGGCGTCATTTCGCCTCTAGAGGGCTAGTCGATGACGTCGTCTGATAACTGATTTGAACCCATTCAAATGAATGAATTCATATGAAAATATTTTAGTACGTCAATCCACAGTGCAGTCCCTCAAATGTGGTAAATCCCATCATGGAGCTGAAACATTTTGCTATTTTTTTTTCTTTAGCTCCATGATACAACATACGAGCTATTAGTAAACAGTGAGTAAATAAATATTGCATCGTGCGAGTTCAAACTAAATTAGAAATACGCCAACATCACTTGAACTACAGTACTCATTTCGCCCAACTTCCCACTTTTTCCGACAGCGTGTTTTTTTCTGACCCGAAAAGAACCGCACTTTTATCGCCCTTTTCCACTCGATCGTTTATTGAAAACACCTACCGCTCGCCCAAACCAAATGGTAAAGTTTGAGTATTAACTATTATTAAATTCCGAATAGGATTTCAAATATATGACACTGTGTATCCTTTGCGTGGTCGAAAATGAAGCGGAAATTATCCGGTAAAAAATTTAAAAAAGCGATCGAAAAGCGGAAGGTTTGGCAAAATTAGTACTGTATCACACTCGCTACTTGTCTATAGTTTTGCCACCCCGTATACATGTTTTTCAAAACGAGCGTCCTAGTCAGATATGTACGGGTATACAATATAGACTGGCAAAGTCGGGACTTCGTTTTTGTTTTACATAAAAAAAAAGTCAATTGACAATTTAGCCTATTTAGCGTGATCGCGAACACTAGCGCGACCGCGAAAGAAAATCCCATCGCGATCACGCTAAAAGAACTTAAAACAACTAATTATTTCTTTTTGTAAAACAAAAAAAATTTTGCCAGTCTAACAATAGCGATACGAGACATTTTCATTAGTGACGTCATTGACCAACGCCCGCTAGAGGCAAAATGATGCTATGCAGAGTGGACGTTTGACGTCAACTTCACAGCCCCGGCTCACAGCCCGTTTTATACCCGATATTTAGGGCATTTCGCAGCACATACAAGTTGTTTTTATCGCCAAAATGAATTCAAAGATCTCATATTTTATGTACAGAGTACCATAAGCCAGACCTCTGCTTCCCTTTTTATTAGCATATTATTTGTTTAGCAAAAGAAATCTAAATGGTGATGCATAAACTGTATTAGACATTTTTAATGATTTTTTCCCATTGCATAAATATGGTTCATTAGAAAATTCCAACAAACCTGAGCTGAACAGCAGCACCCCCACATCAAGGTACTGTAAAAGGGTTAAATATTTACTGGGTTTTTATTTTGCTGACTGAAAAATGCGCGAATTTAAAACCCACTGAATATGCCTGAAATACTTAATCAATGAAATTAAAACCCTGTGAAAATTAGTCATTTTACAGTAGTATAAAACATCTGCGTCTTTAATTTCATCCTGAAATGACTCCTGTATGTGA